TTTTTAATGTTTTTCTAAAAGTTCAATAAAAACTGTTTTATCATCATTTTTACAGAAAAAATTATGATTAATTTAAAAAAATAAAAATTTCCCAAATTTATTATTTTAGTGAAATAACTCTCTTCTCAACGTGTTTATTTTTTTGTCAATAATGACATGTATTGTCTATTTCCATTCTAAATATCTTAAGAACGGTTGCTCGTAGCGATTTTTACAAAGAGATATTTCTTACGCAAAAAGTCACAGAGATGTACTACATCACATTCGGTAGTTTTATACAGGTACAGACAAAAAGTTATTATGCTTCAAAACAGTTAAAACACATGTAGGTGGCGCTCTCTACTAGTAGGAGTCATATTGACACCAAAATCAAATTTCTCATGTCAAAAAACTCCCAGACACCAATTTTCATCCAAATATTGACGTTACTTCAGAAATTATTTAGAAAAAATCGAAATAAAAATGAATGTGTGGTATGATTTTTAACAATTTTTATCTGCAGAATACGCTGCCGAAGTTTCCCGAATACAATTCGGACCACCCTGTATACAAAACGATAAGATGATGTCAATTTTGACAGAAAAAATCCATTTGAAAAAATACAAATTGGTTAGGTAATTTGGTTATAGGTAAGTTAATTTGGTGATAGTGGAAAGGTATTTTGGTTATATATGAGATTACGAGCAGTTGAAAATAAGATGGCTGAAAATGTTTAAGTTTATTACAAAACAAGTATTTTACCTAGTAGAAATAATAATAATATTTTTTCGTTTGAAGACTGCTCATCACAACCGTCGCTCATAAAGATGTCTTCATCGTCAGGTCTCGTTTGACAATTTGTGTAATACGGAACACAGCAAAAAGAGCACTGAACCCATAAGGCACCATTTTTAACGTTCACATCTTTTCGATAGCTGATTCACACCTCAGTGCCAACCATCATCATCCTGTTCTTTCTTGTTCTTTTTTGTGGACTTTCCTTTCGAAGAACATTTTATGTTAGACGCTCTAGAGTTTACTAATCCCGAAGGTCCTGCTTGTAGCTGTGTTGGTAATTCCGGATCAGTTAGCCATTTTGCAGAGTCTCTGGTTTTAGTCCGTCGTGTTGCTTTGCTGGCTAAACTTGCAGAAGGCAGTAAAAACAAATTGTCGACGCTGGATTTCTCCAAAAGGGGATCAGAAGGAACAACATCATCATTTTTAGTAACTGACTAAAACACTAACATCCTTAAAAAGTCTTCTAAAAAGTGCATTTATAATTTTATTTAAAAGTGTGTCCTAACATTCACGTTTTGCATGCAAAATCGCTAAGTACATGGCCGAATAACTTAAGCCCCCACAAGAGCAAACAATATTTTAAGCTCATTATTATTGTACCACATTAAAAAGTAGCATATTCCCTATGGGATAACACAGGAACGAACTCTAACCTTTCAATAATTCGCCAACTACAAATAAAATCAATTTATATCACAAAAATCGTCAAATTGAATGACTTTATTTACCGGCACGAATCAAACGTTTTCATGTAGGGGATATTAGATAGATTTCACCGACATGTTTTAAGGCCTCTCACTGAATAGGCGAGTTGCTGAAAAATTATTAAAGAACTATCACCAATTTATCTGTACCACCAACATACCTTACTTTACCTTACTATTTTATCTATTATTTTTGATAGATATAAGGCAATTTTAACAGTTGCTATGGAAAAGAAAATATTTTTAGGTAGTTTTTAATTTTGAAGTTACAAAAATAAAATATACAAAAAATGTAACAGTTTAAAGCTTAAAGCACTCCACTATTAATTTATTATTGGAGATCTCAGTGACTTTTTTAAATAAAAAAAAAGTATTACAATATTTTGAAGGGATGCGACGCTTCACCCGCATCAATAGAAGCTTCGCAGCTTGTCAAAATAAATAACAAAATTATTCTGAGAAATGTGTTAATTATTATAAATCTGAAATTACTAATTTCAATTTTAACAGAAAATTAAAGTATGTAATAAAAAATGGGGGTACACATTTAAAATAAGAAAGTTGCTGTCAACTTCCGGTATTTCCGGAAGTGCCGCCATATTAAAAAAAATATTCGATGGATCTCGTTGTGAAATAATGATGTGCAAAAAATCTCCGATCTAGATATTGTAGTTCTCTACACAGTTCTAATGTATGCGTAGCCTGGAACACCATGTATACTATTATTATTAAATTGGTATTATACTATTCAGTCAATTTTTTGTTTATTTGTATACAGTATAGTTTAAACTACACCTTTTATTGCCTTTTATTGTTAAATATTGTATTTATTTATTTGTCAATTAGAAGGGGCAATAAAAATAGCAAAAGCATTTTTTTCCAACCTATTGTGACCATTTTTTTTAAAATAATAAATTCTTAAATTCTGTTTAATGTATGAGCCAAATACCAATAAAAATATCGGAAATATAATAAAAAAAACATAATAAAAAGCGCAAAAAAGAAAATAACTAAAAAATATATCGATATTACTAGGAATTTAACACAGGAAGATTTTAAGAAAAGAATAGACATTTACATACAGAGTTCTGAGAGCGAAAATGAAGACTAATGAAAAGGAGAAAGAGCGAAAACTCGATAAGGAGACACTGGAAAAATATTAGATGTAATAAACGCTAATTCTAAAATAGAAAATACGGATAAAATCAAAGATAAAACTCAAGTTTAAATATCTTTGGATAAAATAGTATTTTCTGTTTAATCAGAATATCTCTCAGACTAATTTTAAATAAAGGAACACAAAAGATGTGCCTACTGTTTCTTTAATTAGCTAGAAAAAGTTGATAAGAACTAAAATTCCCATAAAAAATAAACTGAAATAATTACCTATACGCGTTAAAAATAATGAATTGATAGTGGCTACAGCATAACTCATTAAGTAATTATAATTTACTTTTTTAAAAACATTGTATCTATAGATTACCCGGCAAAAAAACATTAATCAACTTTTATAATATATAGGGTGAGTCTTAAATAAGTGCAAATATTTCCAGGGCTTGCAGATCTCGTCAAAAAAATGTTTTCTCTTTACCGTTTTTCAAATAATTCCAAAATAACCGAGTTTTTTTGCTTCAAAAAGAAGCTTACTTTTTTTACTTAAGTTTTCAGAATCACTGGATCTTTTGCGGTTTTTTTTTCTTGTAAATTTAATTTACTACCTATGTTGCCATATTATCAAGAAATTACGTTTTTTAACTAAAAAAAAATCCAAAATTTTTAAAAAAAATTTCTTAATCGTAAAAAAAACCTCGTAATCGTGTTCTGGGGTCGAAATATACTACAACTAAAAATATTTGCACATATTTAAGACTCACCCTGTATTCCAGTGGTTCAAATACTTTGATATATTCTATCGAGATCCGGCTGTGTATTTTCGGATTTATTTGAAAAAGAGTTTGAAGTTTTTCTTAATTATTTATTAATAACACAATCACACTGGTGTTGTAGCCGTTGTTAATTGCAATTAGCTTAATTTTGGTTAATTTTGTTTCATGGAATGATCTCCGTATTATAATTATGAAAATTTTCTGAGGAACTATTTTGGAGGCGAATTTAAATACCATATAATGCATTTTGTAGAATACAAGAAGAATGTGATATGCGTTATTGATTGCTCTTACCAGTAGAACTTGTAAAATCTTTAACCGCAGATGTAAAAGTCGAATTTGAAACACGGGATAGTAGGTTTTCGAAAGACAGAAAAGTGTATTAATATTATACGATTCTATCTTTAGTTATAATTCGTTAAATGGGTTGATTTTATTCCTTTTTTTAATTGTTTTGTGGCTCTGAAAAGAACCGATTTTTTGAATCTAGTCGATTAAGTTTTTAAATATTAAACTTTACACAATAAATAACTGAAGTTTATTTCTGTTTTTGTTTTATTCTTTTTCTTACTACTTCTTTGGTGGCCGATTTTTTTGAGCCTAGTCGACTACTGTCTATAGATGTGGAGTAGTCGTCTCTGCTTCTCCATGATCTTCCTCATCCTTGATGGTTTCAGAAATCCACATCCAGCTGCTGTCTGCCGGACCATCAAAATCATCCGGTGGTGAAGCAGGCACCCATCAGCTCGAGGAGTCAGGAAACGTTAACTCTTCATCGTCCGTTTCTTCTTTTGATTCCTCCGACTCGAAATCGCTTTCATCGTCTTCATAACACTCGGTTTCTTCCGAGGTGGTTGACTGTGGTAATGCTTGTCGACCATCCCATCTGACATAGTACAACTGGTACCAGAGGCGTTCAAAGTAAAACTAACTAAGCCTGCTCAACTTTTATAATGAGACTCTCGCGTCTTCTTGACTCCTCCCCCCCACTAACATTTATCCCCACCTTTTGGCCCTTTCTCTGTCTCATTGCGAGCTCTACTCACTAGGCGATAATAGTAATATTTATTTTTAAATAATAGTCCGGTCCATAGAGAAAGTTAATAGTTTAGAGAGTGGTAAATCGCGTGGTAAAATATTGGGAGATGGCGCTTTTGGCGCCCTCTAGTTGGCTACAGGAACGAACTATGAAAGAGCGGGAGATTTAAATTATTATTATATTTACTATTTTTAAGGCAATTAAAACTAAGAGTGCCCTTAACCAAAAACAGTGAAATAAATGGAGATACCTACTCAAATTTTATATTATCATGATATTAAAGGATACAGCATTTATAATCATTTTACCCCTTTTTATTCAAAGTCTTACACGCTAATATAAAATTTGACTATCTCCATTTATTTCACTATTTTTGGTTAAGGGCACTCTTAATTTTAATTTTCCTTTTTTTATGGGAAAACGATTAAATGGGAGGAATTGAATGGGAATGGAAAGAATGACCAATTATTGTATTTTGTATTAATTTATAATACCCCTATTCTCCTAAATATCTAGCTACATTGTACTTACAGTTAAATAGCTACATTGTACTAGTTATATACATATTTACAGTTTTATGATGACTATTATTTCTTTTCATCGTGCTATCAATTGATTCGCTCCGACTTGAGTACTATACCTCGAGATGGCTCCAGGAATTATTTATTTTTACAGGCCTAGAATATGAAGATTCACAGTAGAATTTTTGGTTTTACTGCCTATTAGAAACAAACCTACCCTCCTACATCAAGGGACATACAATTATGCCTTGTTCTCGGCCATGATATTCCTTCCATTCTATATCCAACATCCAACTTAGCAGACCTTCTGGTTCACAACAGGGCCTAGACTGGCCGGTTGATATTTTAACTGAATAGCCCTTGATATCTCTTTCACACTTTCATTTAATAATTAAATAGGATGGTATAATGGACCTGGATGGTATAATTTCTAGAAAGAATATAAGTACACTACCCATAAGTAGCGTGGAAACGTGTGCATATTATGGCGATTACAACTTTCTGACTCGTTATATCTCAGAAACAGTGGCTCTAAGGAAAAAAGTATTTATACATTTTTATAGAGAATTTTATGGTCTATAATTTTTGTCTGAGGTAATTTTATAATAAAACTTGCCGTTTTGCTGAAAATCGCAAAAAACATTTTTTTTAGATTTCTGACCTTTGACCTCGCATAATTTTTTTTCCAGTCACCGGAATGATTTGGAATTTTAAAACGTTATTTTTAATTACGTTTTCAACGATTACACGTATTTTCAGCTTGTTGTAAATTCATGTACCATTACTCTTATTTTTTGGTCTAACTTGACCGGGCTATAATAATATAAACTCATGATTCTCTAGTAAACTTTCTGTGATTAGTGCTCGAGCAACACTTAGAAATATTTTAAATTTAATTCTGAAGTTATTTTGAAGTTTCTATAATGTTTATTAGCAATTATTGAAGTTTAAATATGGTATTTTATTATTTAGTATAATATTGCTAAATGTGTTAGTTATATTTTTTTGTGTTACGTTTTTATAGGCATTAGCATCTTTAATTGAAAATTTTAAGTTTTTTTTTCAAATTTAGTTAAGTTGGTTTCGAGGTTGGTTGATGTTATATTATTTTCATTTGAAACTCAATTTTTTTTATCGCTTTTACTTTTGGGAGTAAACCTTGCTCGCTAATTGACGAACTCCACAATCATTGAACGAAAATATTTTAGTACGGTTCCCGAAACTCTAATTAATATTACCAATTAGGGTTCAGATCTTTTTGGTCATCGTAGAACCGGGCCTCGGTAACAATAATTATAAAAATATTTTTTTGTTACGTGAGGAAGTCCTTTGATACTTCCTAGCGGTTGAAATCAAATTCTTTTAAATAAATAACGATGCTATTTCTTATTGTTCTTTTTTGAAGTTCCTATAATATTTATTATGTTATGTTTTAATAGATATTTGTATTTTTAATTCAATATATTTTAGGGCTTTTGTCTCAAATTCAGTTAAGTTGGTTTATGTTACTTGTTGTGAAATTTAAGTTACCTATACTTTTTTCTTTACTTTTGTTCATGTTAATTTTTTCATGACTGATTACTTAATAGTTTGATATTATTTTCAAGTATTCAAAGTAAAATATTTCGATTATTTTGGACTTATTACGTAATCCTACGTATCTTTATCGTAAATAATACGGTAAAGAGAAAGTATGTTTCTTATCGAGATCTACCAGCCCTGAAAATATTTGCACTTATTTAAGACTCACCCTGTATAATTAGAATTATAAAAACTTGCTATAAAAGTTATAAAAATAACTTTAATAATAGTTTCACAACAAAAATTCCATAAAACAATATGCCTATCAACACCGTTTTCATCCAATGAACAATATACAAATATGATATTATTTGTGAGATTATTTTCCAGCACATATCTATTAGCTTCAAATCCATCAGTTCATTTTAAATGGACGTTTCCGAAATTTATTCGCAAATTGTACAGACGTTAAATGGATAATATGAATTTGGGCAGCATTGTGTTTATTTTTATTTGCGAATTTAGCCATCCGTGAAACAGTTAATTTAATAACAGCCCGATTGTTTAATATCATAATCGGACTCAATTTTGTTCTCAATTTTGTATTTTTTTAAAAACATAAAAAATGTTTTTTTTTATAAATAATTCAAACCGTTCTTAGCTACAGTTCATACCAAATTAACTTTTAGTCACGTGATTAAGCTTGACCGGCGCGGCGTTGCCCACTTTTATATATTTTCTTTTAATCAAAATATATTAGGAAAGAAAAATAAATTAATTATAAATATATAAACAGTCATTATTTACACCAACAAAATTCACCTTCTTAACAGTACTTACGGGGCATAAAGGGCTATTACTGCCGTTTTCCCGTTCAAAATATTCTAATAATGATTCGATAAGTTTTTATTAGTTATTATTAGTTATCTTGTACCACTTCGCACTAAAAGAGGTCCTAAAAAGAACAATGTTCGACTACAAGGTCTGCTAGTAAACACTTTTAAGCTTGTAGTTTTACTTGTTTACTGATACTTATGATCATAAAGTAAAATTTTATCACTAAAATATTAGAAAAAAAAAAGATTTTTTTTTGCTTTTTCCATTAGATTAAAGTCTATTTTTATTTAAATTTGTTTGCAGAGACCCAACCTCCTGGATTTAGAAACAGGGAGGGGGGCAACAGTAAGCATACCTTTTGGTGGTAATGGTCGTTATTTATTATTAACAAAACTTTTTGCGCGCTTTTTACTTTGGTTGAAAAAGTTTTTTTTTTAAATTTGTGTAGAGACCCCAATTGTACGTCGGCGATTTTAATTTTGATATTTTTTTGGAGCCAGTGGTATCGGCATTTAAAAAATAAAGTACGCAAAGTTTATATATTTTTTTTCTTTACATCTTGGCCCAGGCTAACTGTGCGCCTAAGTTCCGCTTCCAGTACATTATTTATATTTATAGTATACATTATCACACATTAGTTGTATTATCATATCAATGTAGCCATTAAATTTTAATAATGGTGACATTTGTGAGGTTTTAAATGCTATGTTTTTTTGCCATTTTCAAAACAGTCCTAAAAGCGTAGACTGTCGTAAACCTAATTGTTTGTTTAGGAGTTTTATTGTCAGGTCATTAGTATGTTTTTCAATTTCTATAGCTTCTAATGTGTTGAGTTTATTGTTTTTTGGAGTATAAAAGGTAAACCAAACCAATAAAATTGTCATTTGAAAATAAAAACATTACGGGCAAGCTGATTTTTTCAGAGTTTGTCAGCGACTGTCTTCTGAGTGTAAAATTAACAAAATCGGAAATTTTCCCCTTGCGGTTTTTGCGCAATAGGGGTGGTTTTTTAAAACTGTACTACAACAAAATAATTAGACGCAAATTGTACAGAGGAACATTCTCTATAAGTTCGCCTAATGAATTTTTTTATAAGTTTATTATTTCCGGACTTAGCGGCCGTTACATGAGTCCTTTCGGATGGTTTTCAAAAAGTTTGTTTTACAGCAAATTGACCCGTATGAAAGTTGTTCATAATAAATGGACAAGCAACTTTTCCTCATGAATTTTTTTTGTAGCTTGATTATTTTTGGAGATAGCGTCCAGTTCATGAACAAATTGAGGTAGTTTCATAATTTTTGTTTAGTTCTACAAATTTACCAACTTAAAATCAAATGGTGTTCATATTAAAGTTACAAGCAAACTTCTCTGTGATATGTATTTATTTCCCCAAAACGAAACATGGAATTCATCAAGTGAATGAATATTATGATTTTTTTTTATTTGTATCGTCTTCTTTTGTGTGATGGACCTGGCGTTGGCTCCTCAGATTTATTGTTGGTTTCTTTCGTTGCTTCGTATGAAGTAAAGTCGTCGTCATCAGAATATAGTTCATAAGGTAAAGGTATATGTACTCTTATTTTGAACGAGTTTTTACGGTGAATTTGCTGAAAAAAGAGTAACATTGAAAACTACCCTAATTTGTTCATGAACTGGACGCTATCTCCAAAAATAATCAAGCTACAAAAAAAATACGGGCTACTAAAACTTTCATACGGGCCAGGTGTTCAACATTGTGTTAGTTGTCACGATATATTTCATATTTCAAAAATCCCCAAAATCAGAAATCCGGGAATCAGAGAGGCCCATCATATGGTATAATAAATATCATCTTTGAATATATTTTTTAAATATTACAGTAAATTGTGAAAACAAATATAGAGTGATATATATTTTTGAGAAGCTTACGACAAGGCAGATCATATAATTTATAAATATACAGGGTGTTCCATTTAAGAAAACATAACTTTAGTACATATCTTTAAAAATATTATTTTCGTAGAATAACAGAGCTACGCTTCTGTATTCTACGTAAAGAGTTCTGCAGCAAACAGTTTGCACCTTCTCGATACATTTAACAATAACAGAAATACACGAGGTGTCCCAAATTTCAAAAAGACTAAAAGACCCTGTAGCTCAGAAACGAAGAGGGCTATGAAAATTTTGTTTACGGAATCTTCCGTTTGACAAAAAAGTGGCACAGGTTTGTGCAAACCGCGTCCTTCTTTCTTTACAAATAACGGAAATAACCTACGATTTCAACCAAAATGAGACTCCCTGTAAATACAAAGCTATGACATTCATTACATTTAGTTCACGAACTAAAGGTTTTTATCGGTTTATCTTTGACAATATAGAGGGTAAGACTTAAATAAGTACAAATATTTTCTCTTTGCCGTTTTTCAAATCAGTCCAAAATATCCGAGCTGTTTTACTTTGAAATTAAAAAAAAAATGATTATATGCCTAAATTTTGAGAACCACTGTATCTATCCCGTTTTTTTTCTCTTGTATTTTTTTTCAATTTTAAGATAGTAGATGTCCGAAAGACCGAAAAGTGTACTTTAAAATATTATACGATTCAATCTTTAGTTATAACACATTAAACGTTTTGTTTTTAAATATTTAACTTAACAGAATAAATAACGGAACATTGTTTGCGTTTTTGAACAAGTATGCTGCATTATTATAACTTAACTACTCTGTGATGTATTTTAACGATACTACAATAATGTGATATTCGTTATTGACTGATCTCACCAGTCGAAAGTTTTATAATATTTTATAGTAGATGAAAAATCGAATAAAACATACGATTCTATCTTTAATTATAACACATTAAACGTTTCGGTGTCGAACAAATTTGTTTTTAAATATTAAACTTAACAGAATAAATAACCCAAAATTGTTTGCGTCTTTTATTTTATTCCTTTTTTTTTAACATTTCTTTTGCGGCTCTGAAAAGAACCAATTTTATTGAGTTTAGTCAACTAGGACTATAGAGACATGGGCTAGTTGTGCTCACTTCTCCGTG